AGGGAAGATGAGAGGTGGGTACACACGAGTTCTTTCCAGGCGTGTTGGACAGGAAATAAGGGACATTTCACAACCCAGATCAGCTGATTCGGCCCCAAAAGCCCTTGTGCACCATGGGAAATGTAGTTTTCCACTTGAAATGGCCCAAACCTGAAAATAAAAGGATTTGTACTTTTTATTTTTTAGGAATGAGAAGCTCTATCTACCAAGTACCACGAAGCAAAATCAAAAGGTCTCACAAAGTCAACCAGGGAAATCAATTAGCTGGATTCCAACACAAAGTCATTCCAAAGGGAAAATTATTCCCACCTGGGAGAAAGTCACTCAGAGCCTCAGGAAAGAGTCTTCAGAATCTTCCTTAGTCTCAAGGAACAACATCCATTTCAGCAAATACATACTCCTAATATTTTCCTTCACAGTATTTCTAAATAATAAGAAGAATGATCTCTATGTTTTGATGATCTCTGTTAAAGCACTGGCAACACTGAAAAATGTTCACACTTGTATGGACTGGGTGGCTGGTTTTTACTGTCACTTTCTTCTGTCTGTTCTGTTGGGCTCCAAATCAGGATTGGACCATTCTGCTCCATCAGCTTCACTTCACTGCTGGCCAGAAAGGAAGGAAATCCAGAGCTGAGTGAAATAAATGACAAATCAGCAAATTTCACCTCCTCTATTTACAGTCAAGGACTTAAAATCTGCATCCCAGCAATTTTTACATGTGGAATATTATTTAACTCCTAGTTTGTACTTTCTAAAAAAATGCAAGGTTTTTCCAGCAGTGTTTATTCCTTACTTGTGGAAGAAAATAATACGATTATTCAGAGGCTGCTTTAAATATCAATGTGCTGTTTTAACACAAGCAAAGCTCTCTTCTTTCTTTCCTATGGTAATAATTTATAGTAACAGATTTTAAGACCCTCTTGCCACCTTGTCCCACCCAGGCCTTCTTTCCTTCCCACAAGCATTTATCTGGCTGCACAGCAAACTGGACCAATTCTTGGATTGAATTTAAGTGGCTGTGAAACTACTGAATGAAGGGACAGAGAAAACTGTCATTTTAGGGAAACCATTGTAAAGATGAACTTCTAACTTGTCCTTAGATAGAGGGTTACAGCAAATGAACTGGAAAATGTATAACACAAAGTCTGAGGACAACAAAAATACACGACAGAGCAACACAAAAGGTCAAAAGCAGTACTCGTTTTATTTGATTTCTTAAGACTTTTGCAGCACGAACCAAACTTGTTGCTTCTAGGTTGGTTTTGATGACATTGCTTATTTTTATACTCCCTCAGGGCTAAAACCAGTAAACAGAACTGCAGTGAGAATAAGGACTGAATTTTTCTCCTTGCAATGGAATGAATAGTAAGAACTGCCTCTTTGTTTCTACTCCTTAACATATTAGGAAACAGATGGGTTAAAACGTTTATTAGCATAAGAAGGAGATGTTATGTAGTTGATAGTTGGAGCTCGGGCATTTCAGTCAGTGCCTGAAGGGACAAAGCAACAGCTTTTGGGGTGAGGGAGCAGCTTTCAGCACATTCCCCACACCAAACTCTGCTCACCCTCCCCCGCGGGCCGCGCTGCCCCGCACCCCTGGCTCCCCTTTCACCGCAAGAACACGAACCAGCCCAGAGGGCGGTGTGTGAAGGAGGATTCGGACTCGGGAGGCTTCGCCGAGCAGCTCCAGGAGCTGAAGGGCAGGCCGGGCCCCTCACAGCGGCGACCTGGGACCGTCCCCAGCTGCAGACAGGGCAGGGAGGGCACAGACCAGCTATCCCGGGTGAGTCACCCTCACAGAGAACAC